ATCGGGGCGCGGCGGTCGGGGCGCGGCCGGCGGGGCGCGGCCGGCGGGGCGAGCGGCGGGTGCACGGCGGGTTGCGGTGCAGGGCCCGCCGCCGCTGGCGGGCGCATGTGCACGTGCAGGTGGCCGTTGCCCGACCCCGCTCAGTGGGGCGGCGGGAGGGCGGCCCAAAGCGCCAACCGCTCCGCCCGGATTGGCAGGGCCGATTGGGTGTGGACTGAAATGCCGCGCACGGGCCAGCGCTGCCCCCGCAATGTTGGGCACTGTGTGCCATCTGATGGTGTGACCCGCGCTGGCGTCCCACCTTGACGGTGCCGTATCCCATCGTCCCACCGGGCGTGACGGAGAAGCCCGTCGCGCGCGGCACGGCGCCCAGCAGCAGTGCGAGCGCGCAGCAGCTGGCCAGCCCAAACACGCGCAGGGCGCTAGTCACCATATCTAAGGCGGCGCTCCTGCTGATTCCTATTGCTCAAGGGTCCGAGCTGGATCTCATGCCGCGAAACAAGTTTGCAATCGCAGATCGTGCCACCAGATAATGAATCACGGATAGGAATCAACAGTGGTGATGGGGTGTGATTGCAAGAACAAGGCTGATCTTGGGTGGCTGCAGGCTCGCGGCGCTCTGAAGCAGTGCACTGACTCATGGAGTCACCACTCCCCCCGCCCCCTCCCGCCCAGATGCGCACGTTTGCGGCAACACGCGGCAACCACTAAGCCATCAAGTAATCGTTATAGGTCATCCGTCAATTCAATTTCTACACACATCGGTAGTCTTACCATGGCCCGGCTCATGGTTGCAAACCGCTGGCAGCATGCCGGTGTGATCAGCAGCCACTATCTGACGTGGCCTTTGCATCAACAAGACCGCCGGAGCCAAGCTTAGGATCCTGGAAGCCCTCCAGCACCAAATGAGTGTGATAAATCTCTGGCTTTGCCACAGGCGTGCCAAGCGTCACTGGGTGGAGTTCCCGACTCAGCACATTTTGGATGCTGTTTGGTTTCCCATTTTCCCCAGTCGTGCCCAGAGAGCTACGCGCTACAATTCTGGCTGTTTATTTCGCCCTCCCTGCCAACATGCCGCACGAAAGCATATAAGACCCCTACCAGCCCCTCCAACCCCCTCCAAGCCCCCGCCGCCCCCTGTAACATCGAAACTCGGCCGCCGACCGAAAATTCTATGGAGGGTGTGTGTTACAGCTAGCATTAGTGGTGCCGACAGGCCGGCAGCGCCACCCAATGGCAACAATGCTGACATACAAGCCATATCCGGCCAACTGCAAAAGCAAAGGACACAACAGTGAGCAGTCAAAGGGGTTTCACATGAGAAATCAATCAATCAACAGATATTTGGGTCGCACGTCTGCAGCACGCCCAGTCACAGTTGTCAATGGCTAAGCATGCTTGTGCAGCATGCGTGGACACATGAGAAGATGATGCGCGCGACGAGCCCAGTACAGGTGATGCGTAAGCAGCTGTGACGCTATTGAAGGCCTCCAAAACAGGTTGGTGCAAGCTTTCGCTGCAAAATTTGCGGCAACAGAGCCTGCGCGAAATGCTGCAGGTGTCCGCACCGCTCCTTCGCCTCACCGACAAGGGCCATTGACAGGCACGGCAGCAGGCCGCCACCAGGCGCCGTGTGTGGTGGCGCTCCTCTATATGATAATCAATAACCAGCCGTCAGACCCACTGCGCCGCGCCAACATTGCCTCGTTGCATCCGTTTGTCTGGTCCCCTCACTTCTTGAGGTGCGGGAGCAGGGCGTTGGCGATGAAATCTCCCATCTTGTCGTATGCCTGCAACCGCATCGTTGGTGAGCGCGAGCCTTGCATGAGCGCGGGCGATTGACGGCTGCGTGCACGACTGCGTGTGCAACACATCTCACCCTGGCGTGTGCAAATCTCGCCCCAGGAGGAGGCGTGGGTGCGCGTGTGGTGCGGGTGATGCGACTTGCGAAGGCAGAGATTGCCCTTGCCCTGCAGCCTGCTTCCCCATGCACATTGAACCCCGCTCCCCCACCGCACACACACATTCCCTGCCCATGAGCAAGCTTCGCTGCTCGCCAACACCATCCTCGATTGCCCTGTAGTATATATACACTCACTGTTGCACACTCACACATGGGGTCGCACGCACGCACGCGCGTACACACAGACGCACATCCACACGGATAAAAACTTGCACATGTGTCCCACCTTCGGCGTGAGGTGGAGGCCGTCGTCCAGCCACTGCGCCCGCTCCGCGATGCTCATCTTCCAAAAGTCCATGGGCCCATCAAAGCCCAGGTCCGTGAACAAGAACGTGGGACCCTGGCGTTTTGGGGTCCAGCAATATACATCAAATGCCGAGAAGGAAGCAGGGTTCAGGAGATGGACACATGCGTGGATGCACGTGTGCGTAGGGTTGTGACGGCATGCAGGGGGGCGGTGCGTCGCAAGTCTCATCTCCAGGGTTCAACACCCCCCTCTCCCACACCCGGCCGTCACCATCCCTCCTCCCCAATCGGCGCACGTCAGGGTGGTTGGTGTTCCACCAGACGCCGATCTTCTTGATCTCCTCGTTCAGCTTCACGCGCTCGGCCTCCTTCACGTCATCCCTGGATTTTTTTGGGGGTGACGGGAGGGATGCCAACAGCGTGCTTGGGATTGATGGGGGGGCCTGCATGCAGGGGGTGCCGCGAGGTGCGGGCTGAGCACGGCGCGGCGTGATGGCGCGCCCAGCAGGCCCTGCGCGAGCTGGTTGACGCGCGGCTGCGCCTGGGGGCGGCGCCTGAGCTGCGCAGAGGGGTGCGCATCTGAGGGCAGCTGACGCGATTCCGGGCCAAGTCGGCGCTTGCTCACTTGGACACGAATCCGGGGGCGGGCAGGGGGGCAATGGCCATGATGTTGGAGCCGCTCTCGAGGGCGGGGCGGTAGATATCCAGCAGTCCCTTGGACACCTGTTGGGCGGTGGCGAGGAAGTCGGGGTTAAGTGAGTGTTGTCCTGGCGGACTCGGAAGACGGCATAACAAGTGCACATGAGCAGGGATGGTGTGGGTCAGGACGCAAGCCCTTTGACCAAGAGGGCGCAAGCTGCCTGCACAACATGCTTTATCAGCAATATGCGCCGCTGTAGGATCTGTAATGGCAAAGTCCCCGTCTTGCCCACTGAGTTGTGCAGCAGCCGCTACTGCTTGTGCTGCTGCTGCTGCTGCTGCTGCTGCTGCTGCTGCTGCTGCTGCTGCTGCTGCTGCTGCTGCTGCTGCTGCTGCTGCTGCTGCTGCTGCTGCTGCTGCTGCTGCTGCTGCTGCTGCCGCCGCTGCTGCTGCTGCTGCTGCTGCTGCTGCCGCCGCTGCTGCTGCTGCGGCGGCGGCGGCGGCGGCGGCTGCGGCGGCTGCGGGGCGGCTCAGAGCATTGGAGCCAACCGTTTGTCACCATTCGCTTTGCCCACCTCATCTGCCGACTTGCCGACACGCAGGAGATCGTTGATGCCCACCATGCAGATCACCTGGACAGCCGAGAGCAAAAAACGTTGTGTCAGGTGCTTGAGGGCACAAACATCCATCGACTGCGAGCACTGGGGTTGCAACCTCAAAAAAGGGCTCGCAGCGACGATGGCTGGACTGCCCGTTCAAATTCAGGACGCAGCCTGCAGCTGGTTGCCGCAGCCCCCAAGCCGGCTCATGCACGAAGACCCGCTGGCTGCGCCTTGTCCAAGATGCTTGCGTTCCTTGGTTGTGCAGCCCCTCACACAGTGCAGTATGTTCGAGGTTGCACCCAAGCTGACGCTCACCCAGTCATACTTGTCCTGCGACATCAGCTTCTTGGCCCACGGCACCAGCGTCACCGGGTTGTGGAAGCCCACCGCGTAGATGCCCGCGCCACCAACGCCTGTGGGTGGTGTGCAACCGCAGTGCAACGAGAGACAGGTGAGGGAGGGCAGGGGCTGGCTGCATGGGCTGTGATGCGCCATTGCGGCGTTACACAAGCTTCCCCGAGGCCGCACGGCTCTTTGCTGCCCTAAGCTGCAGCTTTGCCCGCGCACAGGAGCCGCCTTGCCTTCGCGTTCGAAACAGAAATTGAGGAGGGACCCCTGGTCCCTGCCCGCCCCCACTCCTGAAATTCTAGCTGTGGACTGGACGGCAGCACAAGTGCAGCCTGCGAAAGAAGCGGCCGCGGCAGTCGCCGTCGGGTTTCCCTGTCCCCGGCTGCTCACCGCCGTTGGTGACCTCGACCTTCTCCCCCAGGTTTTGCTGCAGGCGCCGCTTCAGCTCGCCCGTGTATGGGTGGTTGATGTTCTCACTGGGAACGGCGCCCTGCGAATGGGGGTGCGAGGGCGTGGTCAAGGCGGGCGGCTTGGTCCACCACTCGCTGCGCGAGGCATGTGAGAGCCGCACAAGGTTATTCTACAATTGCGCCTGGACGATACGCATGCACCCAGGCCTGAATTGCGCACCAGTTCTAGCGCGTGCACACAGTGACCCCCCGCCGGACCAAAGTCCAAATCAGAGCGGCTTGAGAAATGCATCCTAAGCACACACACCTGGGTGATCGAGTCTCCAAGGGCCAGCACGCGCAGCATGCCGTCCTGGTGGCGGCTCTTGTAGCTGGCCGCGCCCAGCGGGCCCAGGCGCGCGGCGCTTGCGCAGTGCGCGGCGGCAAGGACTGCGGCGGCGAGCAGGAGGGCGCGACGCGCCGCCGAGGCGCCCGAGCGGTGCCGGCGAGGCTGCATGGCGGCTGGGATAATACAGAGGCAGCGCGGTCTGGTGAAGGTTAGATTGTTGCTCTTGTTCCGGAGGCGGGTCTTGTCTTGGCCGGGCCCTGCCTAAACGTGGAGGTAGGGGGCGGCATGCGCGTGCGGGCCAGTAAGCGCGCAGTTGCTCAGCCCCCAGCCTCCCCTGCGGGATGAAAGCAGCGGTAATACTTAATCGAACGCTTTTGTAGTGCAGGCGCTGCAAGCATGCGCCGTGCAGTCCGTGGTGACCACGCAGCACAGCTGAGCAGCTGCGCGGTGCGAGTCGCCGCCGACTGCAAATATTCCTGCCCGTGGCTCCTGAGCGCGCACCTGCTGCGGCGAGTAAGAACCTAAGACTGTGAGTTCTGCAAGAAAAGCGGTTCGTACGCCGCTGCGCTGCTTACTTGCAAATTGGAAGCAAAACGCAATGCGGGCTTGACCGATCGTCGACTTGTAAAAACAACTGGCGTGATTAAGTGTTTTTTTAACTATCACACCGCGCAGAAAGTACACCGGTAGAGATCACCGGCGCACCTGCCGCTTGCCTCGCCCAAAACGCGGGTGACCGAAAGCTTCAACCCGTGCAGCCCTGACAACAGTAGGATTTTCAAAGCTATATTTTTATTTCTATAAACACCCACCCGGCCCGGGCTAGGGATTTTCAGGAGTTTGTGGGCACCCGGCGGGCGGGCATGTGCTCTGCTGCCATAACCGCCTGGACACCCGAATGGACACCCCCTGACCGGTGCGCGAAGTGTTGGCACAAGGTATTGCTGACACAAGGAAAATAAGCAACAACTTTTTCGAGGCACATTCGCAGCACGTGGATATGCTCACGCGGTGTGAAATGGCAAGCAAGCCAGAAGGGCAGAGGGGGCAAAGCAGTGGCACCTTTGGACTCGCAGTGCCAGGGATGGACATCAAGACCTCACTCGGTAGTCAGTCTGCAGTGTATGTTGTACGATGACATTGCTGGTTGCATTAGGTCACCGCAGTTACCCAGATATGCACTCCACCACAAGCCGTCCAGCTATTGCATTCAACTGCTCGAAAGGCTGGGGCTCGGGCACCTCTGACGCCACGGGCTCGCCGTGCCCAGCACCCGGCTGGCAGTCGGCCTGGGCTCCCAGCTAATGGGCCTCGGCCTCGCTGACGCCTTGGGAGGGCAGGGGCGCGCCACGCATGCGCCAGGTCGGTTCTCTGCGTGTGTGCGTGCGTGCGTGTGTGGGTGCTTGCGTGCGTGCGTGCGTGCGTGCGTGCGTCGGAGCTAGTGAAAGAGGCCGCGTGCGCGCCGGGCGAGCGAGGCAAAGCGCCAGGTGCGGGTCTGTTGTGCTGCCCCATTTGCAGGGGTATATCGTGCGCATGCATGTTCTCAGGACCGATCCCGTTGGTTAAATACGTTTCAGCCAACAGCCACACTGAACCACTTGCTCACCACAAGCAAAATATCAAAAATCTCGCAGACCCTGGTGATGTCCGGCGCCACGTGCTTCGGCGCGACCTCGGTCATCGTCGCCCGCAATGTCGTGCGGTCTGGCCTGCGCGGCGCCGCGGCGCACGCCGGCGACACAGCGCGCAGCGTCCTCAGCTCTCTTGAGGGCGCTGCGCTCACCCCCGCAGAGCTGATGGAGTTGTTCATCAGCCTGATGCAGGCCCGCCAAGCAGCGCCTCTACACAGCCGCGCTCGACTCCCTGCTGGCTCCCGACGACGGCGGTGGCGGTCGTGGCGGTCGTGGCGGCCGCGGGGGGCCCGGCGGCGGCCGGGGCGGCGGCGGCCGCAGCGGCGG